TTCACAAAGTCACTTAAAAGAGAGAGAGAGAAGAGCCCTCCCTGGTGACATGTCAGGTTAAGGTATAGCACTGTGGGTCTGTCTGTAGCCACTGCAGCATGAATTTGATTCCAGGCCAGGAAGGTGACACTCTTGGCAAAGTGGACTTCACCTCTCTTGCTTCTGTTCCCCTCAGCAGTGTACTTCAATAGATCTACCTGCTCTGCTCCTTGCTATCTCTGGTGAATCCACTCAGACATACCACCCAAACTCTGGCCTGTACCTCAGTTCTTGTATGCATTAGTAAATAAATCATTAAAAAGAGAGAAAGAAAGGGGAAGAGATTGAATTAAGGAGGTTCCCTGCTAACACAAGGAGTTACAGTACAGAGCTATTAAGCTATATATAGCCACTGCACGTGAGTTTGTTTCCAGCCAGCGAGCTGACCCACATAATGCAGCAGACCTCTTCTCTCTTGCCTGCTATTCCCTTCAGCAGTATATCTTGTCATCAGCCTGTTCTGCTCTCTACTCTGCCTCTGGTAAACCTCTCAAACCCTGCACCTCTGCCCTATACTCCAATTCTTGTATGTGTGTCAAAGACCACATCAAATGGCAAAGCCCAGCTCTAACAGGTAGCTGGTCAGGGGTCTTTTTCCAAACGATGAGGCGGTATCAGCAAAATAAGCAGTTGAGGCAGATACTGCTTACTCTAGCTGGTGCAAGTATCTCCTACTGACCATCTCAGCAGGTCTTTATTTATATGTTAAAACAGGCAGTGAGATTACAACAAAAAAAAAAGCATTAAAGACAAATGAAAAAATATATTACATAGTTTGCAAAGTCACTTGGAGACTCCCGTAGCCTCATACTGGAAAGAAACTTATTTGTTCATCATAAGAAAAACATAAGAAATAGAATGAAGGCATTACAATCCCAAACTTCAAGCTATACTACAAAGCCAGAATAAACAAAACTGCATGGTACTGGAACAAGAATAGACATACAGACCAGTGGATTTAAACCCAGATATAAATCCCCAGGTTTATGGACAGCTAAACTTAAAGGAACAAAGAAGATAAAATGGAACAAAGAACGTTTATTCAGCAAATGGAACTGGGAAAACTGGGAAGCTACATGCAAAATAATTAAATTAGATCACTACCTCACACCATACACAAAAATCGACTCAAAGTGGATTGAAGACCTAGACATAAGAACGGAAACCATAGAGTAACCTGGAAGCAAAGATGGGCCAAATACTGCACGACATACACTTAAACCACACCTTTAAAGATACAGTGCGATGATAGTGAAGGCAAGGATAAATAGATGGGACTACATCAAGTTAAAGAGCTTCTGTATGGCAAAAGAGAGATTACAAAAGACAAACAGACATCCCACTGATTGGGAAAATATTTTCTCACACAAAACTAGCAATAAAGGATCGGTCACAAAAATATATGGAGAACTGATGAAACTCAACAAAAATAAACAACCCCATCAAAAAAAATGGGCAGAAGAGCTAAAAAAATACTTCTCCAAAGAATAAATACAGATGACCAACAAGCATATGAAAAAATGTTCAACATCACTTGTAAAAAGGGAGATATAAATCAAAACCACAGTGAGATACCACCTCACACCATTGAGAATGGCACATCTTCAAACAACATGCAACAGCAAATTTTGGTGAGGATGTGGAGAAAAAAGAACTCCCTTGCACTGCTGGTGGGAATGCAAACTAGTACAACCACTATGGAAAACTGTTTTGAGGTTTCTCAAACTGCTTAACATGGAGCTTCCCTACGACCCAGCAATCCTACTCCTAGGTATCTACCCAAAAAACACAAAAACACTGATTCAAAAAGATACCTGCACCCTCATGTTTATCGCTGCCTTATTTACAATAGGAAAGACATGGAAGAGGCCCACATGCCCAAAAGTAGATGACTGGATTAAAAAGATGTGATACATATACACAATGGGATGTTACTCAGCAATCAAAAAATAAATAAACACATGTCTTTTACAGCAACATGGATGGAACTGTGGAACTGGAGATCATGCTTAGTGAAATAAGCCAGAAAGAAAAGGAAAAATACTGCACAGTTTCACTCATAGCAGGAGTATGATGGACCAGGGGAGAAAATAATAATAATAATAATGAGCAGCTATATACCAGAGACATTTTATGGGGGTGGAGTGGGGAATGGGATCAAAAACAGTGGTGGCAGGGACATGCACTGGACTATGGTGATGGCACATGGGTGATTTGGTGATGGGACGCCCACGGAGATTACAATTGTAATGAAAAATGCACAAAATGATGTACAAATAAACTATTATATTATAAACAAAAGAAAAACATAAGAAACAATCAAGGCTTCAAAATGGACCTCATTTCCCAGCATAAACAATCACCTGGGACATTTGGTAATGTTTAACCACCTCACTAACTACCTAACATAGATATTTATCCCTATATCCTATTGTTCTAAAAACCATGCATTCCTAAATATATTAGTAACATATTGTCTTCCTAGAAGTTCCACTATTGCAACTTATCATTCTTATCTAATTCCTATAATCATTGTCTAAATTAGTCTGTTCTCAGCTAAGGGTATTTAACCTCCATGTAGCCTGCAAACTGTGGCACTTTAGAGCACACCAGAAAATCTACTTATGCAGCAAGCACACCTCCCAGGTGAGATTCCAGTCACCTGCCACAGTTAGCTTAACACAATTTTGTTTCCCGTTGTTTTCAGAGCCACAACCTGTTTTTCCTAGCCTCTTGCAATGTTAATTTCTGTCATGCATTATGCCAATTAATACTTTAACTCAAGTTAATTTAGACAGGTCAATAATATAAATAATTTTAGACCAAAACAAATGAGAAAGTTTTAGGAGGCGTTGCTTTGGAGATTCCCATCGCTTCATCTTTGGAAGTTTAGAAAACCCCTCGTCTTCTTTTGGAGTCTTCCCAAGACCTGGACCATGGCACAGACAGTATTGGTTGTGCAGCCTATGTCACATGTGTCAATAAATAAATCTTTAAATCTCTTTAAAAGAGAAAAAGAGAAGAAATTCTCTAAATTTCAATCACACAAGGAATGTTTTAGATCTGATACTTTTGATTTACTTTATTTATTTAAATATATTTTATATCATTGTTTATCTTTGTACAATGTTTGCTTTCTCCTTTCAGGTGTATTTCCATAAAATCCCAGTACCAATTCCCTCATGAACCATCACTATAGTCTCTTACATTTGTTCCCTTATAGGAATAAGAGCTTAGTCTCCACTGCTTAGTTCCCTTATAGGAATAAGAGCTTACTTATGAAGACATCAAATGTTTACACTCTATGACTATACAAAATAAAATTTATTGTCATCTTATAAATGCAGAGTAGCCAATTCATGATCCCTTAGAGTCAAGCCTTTAGTGGATTTGAAATTAACTGTTTGTATATTGTTTCATTATTTCTCATGGGTTGTCTAGGCTTTATTGTGGGGGACCTTGACCAGCAAGGCCGGAGATTAGGGCCCCCAGATCCGGCATACAAAAGAGTTGGTCGCACACGTGCAGCAGCAGAGAGAGTTTATTGGGCTTTACATCTGCTTATATAAAGGAAGAGGGTGATGCAATAGCGGAAGCCAGGAGGGGAGGAGACCAATGGGAACACAGCACGTTTGGCGGGCTGCTGATCTCGCGAGGGGCGAAAATGGGCGAGAAGAGAAAGAGGAAGAGGAAGGGTGTGGGAGGAAGGGTTTCTTAGGTCGTGTCTTTGTCAACCCGGATGTTTCTTTTTTTGTTGTTGTTGTTGAAATGCTTTTAATTCCGTTGCCCAACGGAACAAGCTGTCCACCTCGGTTCCCAACATCTCCCCCGTTTCTGTTTTATTACAGGAATGGTGAGTGCACAGCACAGCAAAGGATTAGTGTCAGGGGACTGTGCCTGTCTTAGGTTGTGGACTTGCTCTATACGCCTTACCCGTCATCAGCTAGGAGACATATCAAAAGGTGATCACTGCACGCATGCTTTTTTATTTGTCTACCTGCCTGTCTTAGGTTGGTCGCAAGAGGTGTCCATCTTACCCGTCTTTGGCTACCAGTCCAGCTCTGAATGAGGCATTAGGGGCAATCCCGTTCACTGGGCGTTTCCCTGTCAAGCATTTCTAGTCGATGGTAAGGGACCTGAATAGGCCACGACATAATTTTGTCTACCTGTTGTTTTATAAAATCAACAATCCGGTTGAAAATACATGGACCAATAGTCAACATGAGAAAGAGTAACAAAAGGTGTAACTCGTATCCAGTCATGGCTGGGGCTGAGTTTCCAATAGGCATTGCCAGTGGTCTCGCATCCCCATTTTGTGCTGTATAGGGACTCTGGACCCCCGCACTTTCATGCCTGTTCTCTGGATCTCCTGTCTCTTGGACAGACATAGAACTCTAGGCTATGTAATTCACTGCGAGCCTGGGGATTTGAACAACCATACCACAGGGGTGGATTGACGGGCACCCTCCATTGCAGGGAATCAGGCCTTTCCTAATCAGGTATGTCCCAAGTGTCAAGACCCATAAAGAGTTGGCAGAGGTCAGGGTGAAGGGCTGGCCACCATGTCCCCGGGGTATGGGTACCGGTGAGGGACCATATGACCTGTCCAGTGGGGTTAATGACTTGCCAAGTTAACTGTTGGGGGGCATGGATATTGGTCCCCGAGTTACTTCTTAGCACTCCGCTGGCAAACTGGGATCTTGAGAGGATTAGGAGCCCGCTCCACAGTCCATAGACAGCTAGCAGGTGGGAGGAGAAGCTTGAGGTGTGAGGCATGGATCCAGGAGGCGACGCCATCGATCTTGACCGCAGTTGGTGTAGTCAGGAGCACCTGGTATGGACCTTTTCAACACGGCTCCAGGTTCCGGACTTGATGTCTCCGGACCAGCACCCACCGAGTCTGCATTCACGGCTGAAAAGAGCAGTCTGAAAAAGGAAAAGAAAAAAAAAGGAAACTTGCCTCAGGGAGGGGCTGGAGGCCCCTCCTTGGGCTGGGGGTTAATATGTCTCACTAGCCGCTCAGGGAGCCAGCGGGCGGCATCATGAGACTGTGAAAAAACGCAGACTGAGCCAGGACCCCAAATTAGAACCGGATCGGGTCCGTTCCAGGATCCATCCAGAGGGTCTTTCCATTTTACCATGGCATACTGATTTTGAGTTTTGGGATGCCAAAATCTGTTGGCGGCTGAGCGGTCTTGAATGACCAGCCGCAGGAAATTTAAGATGAACAGGGTATGATTGAGAAGGTTGCGTGGAGATCCCTTTGTAGGATACCATGTTGTATTTACTAATTTTTGAAGGGTAGTCTTGATAGAGAGATGGGTTCTCTCTACTATGCCCTGGCCCTGTGGATTGTAAGGGATGCCCGTAACATGATGAGTGGAAAGAGCTGTACAGAATTTTTTGAAGGCCAGCGATGTATAGCATGGGCCATTATCTGTCTTTAGCTGTTTTGGAACTCCTAGGACTGTGAAACAATGAAGCAGATAACGTGTCTGGTGGCTTCTCCTGGTTGTAGGGTTGCCATGAGAAAGCCACTACAGGTGTCCACCGAGACATGAACAAAACGCAGTCGCCCGAAAGGGGAGTGATGGGTAACATCCATTTGCCAAATAGCATTTGGTAATAGCCCCCTGGGGTTGACCCCCAGAGAGGGAACTGGGGTAGAGGTAGGACAAGAGGGACAGTTTTTGACAATTTGTCTGGCTTGTTCACGTGTGATGCGATAAAGGACTCGTAGTGAATGGGAATTGAGGTGGTGAAGGGCGTGTGCCTCCTCTGCCTGTTGGACAGTGGTCACCAAGAGTGTAGGGGGACTTTGAGTGGCGGCATCTGCTAAAGCATTGCCATGTACCAGGGGTCCTGGGAAGGCTGAATGAGCACAAAGGTGACCAAGGTAGAATGGTGTGGTGCGTTGACGAATCAATTTCTGGCAGGCCTGGAACAAAACTGACGCCGTTGAAGAGGGCTTGATGAATGAAACTGTTTCAAGGGCAGGTATAGACTGAGCGAGGTAAGAGCTATCAGTATAAATATTTAACGGTTGATTATGAAAATCAGAAAGTACCTTTAAAATAGCTTCAAGCTCGACCAATTGCGCAGATGTGTGGGGGGTGACAAAAGATACACAAGAGTCATGACAGACATAGGCCGCAGTGCCATTAGAGGACCCATCTGTAAAGACTGTGAGGGCATTTTTAATTGGCTTATTATGAATGATTTGTGGAAAAATGAATTGATGAGTGTTACAGACCTGTAGGAGCTTGTCAGGAGGGAGATGATTGTCTATAACTCCTGAAAAGGAGGCACAGGCGATGAGCCAGGAGTCAGAGTTTTGTAAAAGCCAATCAACTTGTGACTTTGAGTATGGTTGGACTATTTTTGAGGGGTCTCTGCCATATAATTTGTGACCGGTTGTTCTGGCCACGATAATAAGTTGAGCAACAGCCTCATAATAGGGTAAAAGAACCCTTTTGGGGGAAGATGGTAGATGTAACCACAGGATGGCATGGCCTTGCCAGAAAACTCCAGTAGGGGTCAAATACATCATCCCAATCAACATCAGAAGGGTCAGAGTCAGTTTTTGGGTATTGTTGAGTATGTAAACCGCCCCGACTGCGTAATTTGTCAGGAGGAACAGGCGGGGGGAGTGGAGGGTAGACCTTTAAGGTCGTAGATATTGGAGGATCGGTTTTACTGGTGGGCATTTTGTGGGAGGGCTCATCATCATCACTGTGAAAGGAAATAAGATCCGTTTGGGTTTTAGGCTGAGGTTTTTGAGCCAGGCACACCGACGCCGCAGAGGCGGCCATACAAGATGGCCTCAGCCTGAGCTATTGTGTCTTGGAGTTTAGGACAATGGTCCTCAGTGGAAAAAATTTCCCTGATTAGATTCCAATAGGAAAAGGCCGTAACAGGAAGTTTTTCAGGACCGAAAGTTTTGAAGTAATCATTGAGAGCGTCCCCTACTCTCAACCAATGTTTGTAGTCTATGGTGCCCTCAAGGGGAAACCAAGGACATGTTTCTTTTATGAAATCAAAAAATCTGAGAAGGTCCTTGGGTTTTACTTTAACGCCCCTTGAGTGTAGGGTGTCTTTTAATTGGGTGACATATAATTCGTTGGTACTAAGTTCTTGTCCCATGATTTTAAGTGCATTTTGAGGCGGGACAACACCGAAGAAATAGGAAGGCAACAAAAAACATAAACACAAAAGTGACCGTGAAGATAGATGCTATAACCGTTTGAGGATCCAGGATGAGGAAGATCCAGGGGTCCACCGTAGCTGTAAAGACCGTGGTGGGGTGCGTTCCCCTCTCACTAGGACGTCGGAGGTCTGCCAGATGATCACGGCCAGAGTCCCCGCTGTAGTCTTAAGTGAGTTGGAAGCTTCCAGGGAGGGGGGCTTACCTATAGGAGAGGTCAATTCCGCTGATCAGGCGGCGAGGGTGGGGTCTACAGACGAAAAACACCTTCAAAAATCTTCATAAAATGGGGGGGGGGGCATGAGCCCTGGGGACTGTTAGGCAAGAGAGCTAACAGCCGAAAAAGAAACTGACAAAGCCAAGAATGGGCCTCGGGCCCGGGGATTATCGGTCAGAAAGGAAGAAAAACCGATAACCGAAAAGAAGAACGCCGGTTAGCCTGGAGGCCCCACGTTGGGTGCCACTTTGAGGGGAACCTTGACCAGCAAGGCCAGAGATTAGGGGCCCCAGGTCCAGCGTACAAAAGAGTCGGTCGCGCACGTGCAGCAGCAGAGAGAGTTTATTGGGCTTTACATCCGCTTATATACAGGAGGAGGGTGATGCAATAGTGGAAGCCAGGAGGGGAGGAGACCAATAGGAATACAGCACGTTTGGCGGGCTGCTGATCTCGCGAGGGGCGAAAATGGGTGAGAAGAGGAAGAGGAAGGGTGTGGGCGGAAGGGTTTCTTAGGTCGTGTCTTTGTCAACTCGGATGATTTTTGTTGGTGTTGTTGTTGTTGAAATGCTTTTAATTCCATTGCCCAATGGAACAAGCTGTCCACCTCGGTTCCCGACACTTTATAACATAGAAGATTTTTGGAGAGAATTCCCTTTCTACATTATATAACATTGAGTCTTATAATGTAGATTTGCTGTCCATATAAGTAGAATTTATTCTACATTCTAAATTTTGTTCCATCTAAACTTCATGTTTTTTTGGTTTTGTTTTGTTTTGTAAAAACAGTACCAATCCCCTGAGTAAAAAATTTATTCTAAGCACACACAAGAAAACTATCAGCCTGACTGAAGTGGATAGAAAAAATTCTAAATTAACTT